ATGCGAAAGTCATCTGGCGTGCCGAAAGCTCCCAATACGCGGAAAACTTGTAGGAGTTTTCTTCATTTTCGAACATCTCATGCACACATCGACACATCGAATAAACTTGACAGAAAACTGACATGCATAGCTGGGCTTCACAATGTGAACGGACCTGGGTCGAGTGCTATAACTAGGCAAGCCCCGGTGCATGCGAAAAGACGACATGGATAGGTGGCCTTACGGGCATGGTAGATGACCCCGGTGTACGCACTGCTCTGTGCGTTGGGCTTCCTGGACTCTTGGTGTTCGTGGACTGTGGTGTGCCGGCTATACAGTCTCCGGTGGATCAGATTCTTCGATTGACTTCGGTAGCGAGTTGCCGGTGAACCTAAATCGACCAATGTGTCTGCTAGGCTTAGCTCTGTGCGAGAGCAGACCCTGAACCCCAAACCCTCAACCCTGTGTTTCGAACGGACACGGAGCTGCAGCCGAGGCCAAACGCCCCGAGCTCGGACTCACAAGTAACGAGTTGGTTCGGAACTTTGGGCGAAGAGCCTCTGCCGAGGTGCCGGTTTATGGCACGAGTAGCAGATACTACCCCCTAAACCCTAAACCCTAAACCCAGCTTGGGGACCGCCTAAACCCCAAAAGCCTAAACCCTACACCCAGCTTAGGGTTTAGGTTTTGGGGCTCCTGGCTTGCAGTCTGGGGCTTTTTGGTCCCGGGCCTGTCTCCCTTCGCGCTTTTTCCTCCGCGTCGGCTTGGAGGTTTCGTGGCGAGTTGCATCTCATCGCTGCTTCGATGGGGTTTAGTGCCTCACCACACGCTTGACTTACGACGCATGGCGCAAGCCTACGAGCCGAAGGCCAAGGTTCGGGGCTGGTTCGCCGGCTACGCACCACGGAGAACTTTGTCCATTGTCTTGGTGAAAAACACAGGCTTCTACATGAGCCATTTCCAAAAGCTCCGCATAATGGCAAATCGTAAGAACCCTACCCTAAACCCTAAACCACTCTGAGTGTACCCACCCATATCCCCGACTTTGGAAAAGGCTCAAGCCAAGGCTCCCAGGTGTATGGCAGTGTATGGGTCAGTGCTATCTTGTTGTTGCTGTACAGTTGTCGTTTACTGCACTGTTCACATTCTCCTGCTGACTGCTGACTACTGCTGCATGTTGCAGATGCTACTGCTCCGCCTCCTCCTTTTCCTCCTAAACCCTAAACCCTAAACCCTAAACCCTAAACCCTACTGTAACCCTTGAACCCTGAACCCTTGACCACGAAGACGACTACAACCCTTACCACCGGTCGGGGCCGAGCTGGAACACTAATGCCACACATCATCCGTTTGCATCCGTTTGCTCGTTAATACTCATATTAATACTCATAATTTGCATGGTAATACTACCAATACTGACAATAAGAAGAAGAAGAACATTAGCAAGAATAATATTCTGCTCATCTTGCAGTCGCCCCTGGAAGCCTCTGCCCTTCCGGGCGGCGTTGTGAAACTAAGCTCCACGAGAGCTACAACGCCCTGTCAATTGAGGCTCTGTTTGAGACTGCTACGTGTTACAGAGTCTTGGACATAATGACCGTGCGGAGCTACTTAGATGGCGGGATTTTCCAGTTCATCTCGCAGACTTCACGGATGGGCTCTCTCCTTTCCATGGCTTTCACGCTGCCCAACCACCATATTGACAGAGGGCGGCATCTTGCTATAAGACGCCATGTCTCAAGTCAGGGGCCACTAGAACACAACAAGCATCCTTGGAGAGTGTCTCACGTCTCGTGCTACGTACGGAACACTGGACTTGAGACATTGCCGTCACATCGCGAGCAATCGTCTTGCGACCTAGGCAACATTGCCGCCGGCAACAATCTCAAACTTTGCTTGAGCAGAGCACAGAAACACTCCTTCCATGGGCGCAGCTGCCGCCAGTATTGCCATAGTAGTGCTAGACTGACTCTCATGCCACGCATCCATTGCCCCATTGTCCGGCTGCTGCAAACTGCAACGGTACGACCCCGAATCAGGCTCCAGCACGTGTAATTGCGCTTCCAAACATAAGAGCGTAAACCCTAAACGCTCAACGCCCCCCCCCCGCTGACCGCTCCTGAAGAAGAGCTCGCAAGCTTCCTGCTGCAACCTTCTTTCTGAAGCGCTTTGTTCTCCCTCTCTCTACGTCCCCCTCCCCTTCCCTCGCTTCACTCCCTTCCCTCTTCGCTTAGAGCGGGTCGGGGTCGTTGAATTGGTTGCAGATCTTGTGGAGATCCTGGAACGGGTGATGGCCTGATGTCCGAAAGCCGTGGGAAAGCAGGAGTGATGCTGCAGTGTTGCTGAAGCTGCAAGGGAGATCTGAGGTTTAGATGGGGACTGTGGGTCTGGTTGCCCGTAGGGAGCCCAACTAAACCCCGGACCCGCAAGCCTCACATCCTCTCTAGGTCGTAACGACGCGAAGAGCGCGGGCCTCAAGCCCTCAACTCCCAAAGAAAAATCCGGGTTGAGGGTTCAGGGTTGAGGGTTGAGGGTTGTGAGGATTGAGAGTTGAGGGTTTAGGGTGTAGGGCTTAGGAATGGCGACAGACCCTGTGCAGCCTGGCTCGCAGGATTTCGAACCGGGCGGAGGCGGCCTCAGATGCCAAAAGCCTAAACCCTAAACTCCAAACCCCAAACCCTAAACCCGATGATGTGCCACAAAGAGCTCCTCTGAGCTCTTGGCAGTGAAGGGCCGTATTGGCACAAAGGGCTGGATGAGAAAGCCTGAAGCTTTTCACCAGTCAGACCTTCTCGTTCGGGCGCCTTGCTGTTGGGGCTCTTGTGATGTCTGAGTCTAAGCCCCATGCTACTTCCAGGCATCGCTTAAAGTCACGCCCATATCCTGGTTGGCGCGCTCTCGTTCGGTAGAAAAATACCGAAAAGTCGCTTTAAGGCCTGCCCTTTCGAGCAAGCAAACAGGGAAACCGCCCAAAGATTCCAAACCTGAAAACGAACCGGAAAGTTGGAAGCCAACACGTGCGAGGCTTCAACCTCCAGTGGTTTCGGTATGTTCAACCCAAGAGTCCTAGAGCCCTAGAGCCTACGATACCAAGTATTTGAAAGAATTGCGCAACGCTCGTCAATTCCGTGACCTGACGCTGACGGTTGCAGTCTAACATGAGTTGCTTTGGCCAGGGGGGGGAATTCAGTCGGTGCGGGAAGCCAACCGACACACAAACAGAACAACACCAGAGTGTCCCTGTAATGTGCGCATGCAGTGTCCAGTAGTGAAATCCCAGATCTTCAACGAGTCGTTGCTGCCGCTGGCGAGGGTGCGGGCATCCAACCGACACACACAATTGACCGCAGCAGTGCGTCCCTGTAATGTGTGCATGCATTGTCCAGCGGTGAAATCCCGGCGTCAGAATCTGGTTAGCGACTGCCGCTGGCGATTTTTCGAGCGTCCAGGGGCCTTTTTTCCACCTCGCGACAAGTCATGAACAGTTGAGAGCCTCGTTGAGGCAGGTTGTGTTGACACAACCTCGAAAATACACTCTCTCTCTTGGGTTTAGAGTCTAGGGTGATCCGAGGACTGTTCGAAGTACTGCTAGGCTTGCGCGCTCAAGAGAAGCAAAGAGCAGCTGGGCATGGAAGCTAAGCACCAGGCCGCAGCTTCTTCCGGCGCTGAAGCTGCTCATCAGCTGCTTCCGAGCGGCCAGATTTCAGAGCCTCGTCACTACTAGCGCTGACAGCTGCAGGAACACTCGTGCGGTCAATTCTGTGTGTCGGTTGGATGCGCGCACGCTGGCCAGCGCCAGTGGTGACAAAACCCTGAAAATTGGAATTTCACATTGCAGAGACACACTAGTGTCTAGTCTGTGTGTTGGGCAGATGCCCGCACTCAGGCCAGCGCAGTTGTGACGAGAGCCTGAAAATTTGGAATTACACCACTGGACAATTAATGCACGCACACATTAGACACACTGATGCGGTGGGGCTGGGCCCCAGACCTTCGACGAAGGGGGGGCTTAAGGGGGGCTTCAAGGGGGGCTTAAGGGGGGCTTCAAGGGGGGGCTTAAGGGTCACCCCCTTAAGGGGGTCTTAAGGGGGGGGGGGGGGGGGGGGGGACGAAG